TCAGGGTAGGTAAAATTAAAGACCACAAACTAGGATCAATAACTGCTGCGGGCCTCGGACACGCTGCTTTCATTTTAGTGAGGACAACAGAGGACGGCTGAACCAGTTTAGCGTCACTGGATCAACTTCAGGAGCTTCGTTTCCACTCAAAAGGCCAAAACAGGCCGAGGGCTTCATCAACAGCCAAGGTCGCAACAATGTGCTTTAACGTCAAACTGCTTCACACTGATTGTTTCTGTTCCTGCAGCCTGGAGGAGCTGTAAATAATGTGTGATCTGAAGCTCAGGCGGTAAACATTTTGAGGTTGTTCTCTGTTTATACTTAAAGCCAATTTGTGCTGATGTGATTAAAGGCACCAACAAGGCTGCCAAACAGCCCGATAGGCTTTTGCTGACTCACCTGATCTACCAAACTACTGACCGGAGACTTCCTTACCATGAAGACCGTACGGTATGTTAACATCAATGGCTGCTGAGAAGAATCATCATTTTATAATAACCCCTCCATTCAGAAATATCACCAATAAAGTGGATGGCTTTTTCCAGGTGCTCACATTGACAATGTAGTAAACTGCAGGTGAATGCAAGTCTTGCCTTATTATAGGCTGTTTAAGACTGAACTGTGACAGGAGCCTGCAACTTTGTAATGTTCTAAAATGTTAATGTAAACCAATGCAACTGAATTTTCTGGTGTGTTATAAGCCCATGAGGGTTGGGCACTTTATGTGCATGACATAAAAATAAATTCAATCAATCAATCAATCAAAATATTCCTTAAAATTGTAGAGAGGAGGATGGGACTGGATAATGTTAAAATGTTTGAATTCTTTTGGGGGGCATTTCACAAAATCAGCTGTCTCTGTTTACATTGAATGTTGACAGCAGTCTTAATACTCAGAGGACATGCTATAATGAAGTATTAAAGAATAAGAAAAAGCACTCTGAAGATGTTGTTACATTTTCATATTAGCTTTTTTTCCCCTTAAAAGTAAGGTGATAAAATCAGCACCCTCATGCCTGTAGAGCTGGTTAGCTTAGCTAAACATAAAGACTGGAAACAGTTAATCTGCTCGTCATGCCTGTTTTAAAATGTGATAGAATCCCCTCTACAAGTGCCTCTGAACAGAATAAAACTTTCACTAGGATGCTAAATCGTCTCTTTTGCCATCTATCTCAGTTAAAGTCTCCTGCTCTGACTCTTTAACCTCTACGACAGAGTAGATGAGGCTAACTATAGGCTTTCCAATATTTGACACAAATAATGCAAACTGAGAAACGAGCGCATCCAATGCTGAGACAAAACAAAGTGTAATCCTAAAGCACTCTTTCTCTGACGTCCTCTCTATACCTGTTCACAGGAAGTGTCACCATCAGATTACAGCTCATCTAACAGAGTAACGTCTGAACGAAAAGCTGCAGAAGATTCACGGCACCCTTTGATTAAAATGTGGCTTGAAAAATGGTTTGTGATTTGAAACAACGGAGGGCTGAACTTGTTTTGCAAGCTTTGGAGTGAACTCTGATCCCTGGGTAATCCCTTTCACCACCTCCTCTTTTAAATTAGCCGTGTGACACGCCAGCCCTCAGAGCTCATCCATTAGCTGTTTGCTTATTAGCCTCTGGTCTGACTCCACGCTGCAGAGATCATAACCCAACACTCTGGCTTTATATTTTTAAAGAAGTAGACTGTAAAACATTTATAGATTAAGATAAAGCACATTGCTTGAAATATGAGGAAGTTAAACATCAATATGGACACAAAAAAAGTAGAATTAGGTCAATGAAACGGCCGATTTTAACCAAATGTTCCTTGAAAGTATGTTTTAAGTGTAAACCTATGATTATATCTCAGATGGACATTTTTCACCACACACCATACACCCCTCATCGTCCTCCCTTCCCCCTCTCTCTCTCTCTCTCTCTCTCTCTCCGCTCACTCCAGCCCATCTGCAACTCGCTTGGTGGAGCAAATTTAGGCAGCGAGAGAAAAACCAACAAGCCACGCTGGTGCTGGCCCTTTTTTTCTGACCCGTTCAACTGTTAACTGTGTTCTTTGCCCTGCCATGCAAATGCATGCGGATCAAAGCAGGCATGATAGGATGACGCCTATACGGGGCCTCTTCCCAAAACCAACAGCAGCTCCTACAATGCCCAGTGGTTTCCGTGGTCTTCCTCTTTTTGTGGGAGAAAAAAAAAAATCATGACCAAGTGATTTTCTACAACTCTCCCCCCCCCCCCCGCCTCCTCCTCCTCCTCCTCCTCCTCCTCCTCATCTGTGGCACTGCTGGAGTCATTACTCAATCCAATGACACGGCTGTTTCTGTAAGATGGAGACACTTTGGGAGATGTGCTGTAACTCACTGTTTCCATTTTTAATTTTGCAGCAACAGAGCGGAAACAGGCTGCAACTCACAGGAATCTGAGTGGCACTTAAATTACTGGCTTCAAGTATGAGACATGAAATTTGCAGAAACTGCCTGTGGGACAATCAAACTAGTTTCACACTTCACACGCTATAAATAACCAGACCACAGTCTGAATACCGAACTTATCTCGGTCTGAGATGAAATACTGGATTCTTTCTTTTTCTTTATCAAAGAAACATGTTTCCCTGCTACTGTGAGTAAAATCCTGTCTTATTTTAGGATTTTAAGGGCTACCTGAAGTTATAACACAAGAACTGTCTTTACTAAAGAGTCTCTGAACACAAGTCTAAAGAAGAATAAACAGGACTCCTGTATCTCTTCAAGGGGATTTGCTATGATGACCTTTAAAGAAAGTATTGTAAATGTTTTAACAATGAAGCTTTTACTCCAAAACAAGAGAAGTATGGTGACGTTTGAAAAAAGATTAGCCAACATGCACATCACTTATCTACTTATAATGCACAAAGACTCGCACCACAATGGCTCCCAATGATATACTTATTTATTTGCTACATGCATCAAAGAACATAACTTTTCGAGCCCCGTCGGGATTCTCAAATAAATACGTTTATCTTTTGGGAGAGCCAAAGTGTTGCGAGTCTTTGTGCATCATATCTAGACATTTAACGCTACATTCAACTTCTTTATTTCATTCAGTCTGACTCTCTTGAACTCGCTCTGCAAACAAAACAGACATAAAGAAGGGCTTAAACAGCCTACTAAGATCATGATGATTCTCTCATTTCCAGAAACTGTTAACTCCTATAACTTAAGTTGCTTGGTCTGCATTGCACTTACTCTAAAGTTATGGTACTACACAAACATTGAAAAACGATTGTAAAGCTTCTCAAACTGCATCATGTTGATTCAAATTTACAAGATATTGGCTGCCATGAAGTTTTGCATTGAATTTAATAGCCGTGCTGCGATCCCTCCCTCTCTCTCCGTCAACATGATTAATGCCTCTGACTAATCAAAGTCAATATTGAACGCCCATATTAGCTTCTCCAAGCCAGCTGGCAATCCACTGACAAGTGACATGACACAGCTGTTGTCATGGATGCAGGTAGTCTACCAGCATGAGGGGATGTGTGCGGATTGAAGATTTAAGTTTACAATTCTATCTATGATTCCTTATATCTATTGAGAGTTTTTAACTGGTTATGATAGATGCTAGACGCTTGATAAAAACGTCATAGATTTTTTAAAATATTACATGCTGAGTTTACCCATCAGCTCACCCAGACTTCATGTGGAAAAGGGGACTGGTAGGAAAAAGCCTGGGTATGGCTTGGATGAAAAACTTGGTTCTGTGCCTTCACACATGCAGCTCGTTGCAAAAATTTCCAGAAATGTTCAGGAGTTTGGTTTGAATAAGGCCCAAGTTATTAAAAACACAAAATGAATGTCGCTGTGTGAAGTCTGAAGAGCACAAAGAGCCGAGAAGCCTTTGTTTACATTCTCCCATGCAGAGATTCACAGTGAGTAGTGCCGTAGCCAGTTAAAAGTTCACCTAAGAGAGCAATGCAAATGCAAGAATTGCAAGTACTTGACAGGATCAAAGAAGAAGCAAGATACACCTCTGAGGTCCCTCTGCTTCAGTTCAGATAAGATACGAGGTCTGTGATTGGATATGACACAGCCATGTGTCATATCCAATGACAGGTGAGCAAATGCTTCTTTAAGGGATATAGATATAGATTATCCTATCTTTAAAACTTAAGATAGGCAAAACAGTTTGTATTTGTTTTTGCTGTAAAGAGGCTCCAGAGTTCCTTCTATACTTAACTTGGAAATGTGACCTGGAAGGGACAGTACAGAGCAAGTCTCAACCACAAACCTGAGGCAGAAAGAATGACCTGAATGTACTGCGTGGTGTGATTTGTGTGTGTGTGTGTGTGTGTGTGTGTGTGTGTGTGTGTGTGTGTGTGGGCCCTCCCCTCAGGCCCCGGCCCGTACTGTTGGATGACTGCTGGAATGCGTTTACTACAAACAGCAGACTCACACACACGGCGTAGACACACACACATGTGCTGACCTATCTGCGGCGGACACACCGGTTCAGACACGTTTAAAGGGGCAAACACTGGATCAATAATAAACACAGACTTGAGTAATAGCCGGTTTGTTTTATTATTAATATTAGTGTGCTGCAAGGCTTTATCCTCTTCATTAAGAAGGCTTTGTCTTCTTCTTCTTCATCCCTAAATTAACTACTCAAGTCCTCAAGCTTACCCTGATTTAAGATAAAACACTCCCCTCCTTCTTTATACTAACATGATCTAAGTCCTTGTTTTTAAAGTCATCTAGTAAGTTTAAAAGGTAAACTCCCACACATTGTTTTATGGCAACCATTCGGTGCTAGACCTTCATCAGGCAAAAACCTTCTAGTCTCTAGTAAGTTGTTGGTTACTCTAAAAAATCATGTTTGAATGAGGCCGAGTATCCTGAGACCAGAGGAACACAGAGGCTCTTTGGAAAATCCATCTATATAATTAACTGATTCTTCATTATACTAAGTGTGTGTGCTGACCCCGAGCTTCGTGGGGTCTTATGTTACCGGCGATCACTTTACCTGTGATGACATTAACGTCAGGGTAGGTGTTTTCACACAGCTCCACGGCTTCGCTGTCCCTCTCAAACGCCTCGCGCAGCTCCTTCTTTACAGCTGCAGATCCACACAGTCGGTACAGACCCACCACCTGGATACACACACACACACACACACACACACACACACACACACACACAGACACACACACAAGTAGGTCAAGTAAACATTAGATTTGACAGATAGGCAGACATTTTTACAACCCTATCGATCATGCTCAACGTCTGCACTCAAACAATGAGATGGACAGAAGCCAAAAACAACTCGTCTCATATCTAAAGCCTGCCTATCTCAACAAAATGACAACTTATTCAAATGAGGACAAACATGGAGCAACGCAAGGAGGATTCAAGCAGATTTTAGTTCTAAAGCTACTGAATCAATGTGGACAAAAATAACTACACTACCTGGATTTAATATAAAACAATTCTACACATCTCAGGTCACAACTTTTCTCACAGGAACTTTCAAAATCCAGTGAATACAATGAAATACCACGATCTTGCTTTTGCAATAATTTCCTCATCTAGCGATAAAACCTTTTTGAAATATATTTATTTTCTGTGCTTCAAGAGCTGTGGTTAAGTGGCACAAGTAAGGCAAGGCAAGAGTACCATAATAACAGACCATCTGTAGTGACAAAGTGCTGGCTGTGGGTAATTAAAAAAAAAAAAAAAAACTGTTCAAATTTTGTTTGAAAAGTCTTTTCTTATTTATGTGCTAATTAACTTAACAAAAATAATAAAGTTTGCTGAGCAGCTGCAACTTTCAGGTTAATGTTCAGAGCTTGAATCAATGCTAACAGTAGGCTAACAAAGATGTTAAAAGTCAAAAACAGCCACAGTGTTGGCTGAAATACAAAAACATGGCTAACATTAGTTGATAGCTAATCATAATTTATCAAGGCAAATAATTAAGTGAACCTCTGTGCAATAGATTTCAAAACAAGATAATGAATAACAGGATAATGCCAAGTGCTGTTAGCTAGTGACTCAGCAATATATTGCTAGCATTAGCTTGAATAAGCTAACTGTAATGCAGATCACCTATAGTTGTAAATAAACAGTGTGGCTACAGAAAAGAGCAGACAATGGATTGTATTGTTTTGAATTAAATGTTGTATTGTAAAAAACACATTACTGTCTATCTAGAGTGTACTATGTCTGCTGACATTAGCTAACATAAGCTAGCTAATAAAAGGTTCTTAAGTAGACTGTTCAAGAGGATTATTTGTTCAGTCCTTCTTTTAAATTGAATTTAGTGGAGTTATTAAATTAGCACAGTAGCTAATTTTCATCCGTAGTCTATAGACAGTTACTGCCAGTACAATGTGTGTGTTAAATGTGTGTTTTGATAAACCAGATCTGAGGTGTTATAAAGACTTCACACATTCATGACTGGATGGATAAACACTGAGCTGTCCTAAAAACCCCGCTGACAGCTGAGCATTAAAAATGAAAGCAAAAAAAGAAATAAACCTTTAATGTGTCTTTATGTAACCCTCCTCAGTGTGACCTACAGGAGCTCTGAACTATTTCCTCCAGACATATGATAGTTGAAACTTGGCACCGGTTTTCTCCTTGTTATGTTGGGATTAGTCCTGGTTTTCAGACATACCATAATTTCTCCTACATGTGTCTGTCTGGTATGTGGCATAGCAGGCCAACTGGTGTCGTTGCCCTGGTAACGTGTTAAGTCAGTGGGCTGTGAATGGCGGGTTGGGTCCGGTTCCACACAAACACAGTAGTGCACTCACACTAGCCTACACACACTGCTGGCCTTTCCGGGCTCCAGTACAGGAGCTCTTTAATGTCTCCTCCACCAGCCCAAGTACATGCGAGCTCTCCTCCTCCACGAGTAGTTTTCTAAACCTCACGCGAGAGGGAGAGAGGAGCACAGATTAGGCAGGGATTTGGCTTTTGTGTGAGAGTAAACACAAGTCACTAGGCACAATGAACAACAAGTCCATTGAGAAAAAAATAAAGAGTCTCTTTTGGGAGGGAGAGCCCAATGCAGGCGGGGAACAGCTGTTAGCAAAAAAAAAGAGGGCTTGCACTTATGCTCTCTGGCTGCCGGGCAACACAACAGGCAGCACCAGCCAACATGCAGGAAAAAGGCTGACACAATGACCGAGAAAAACCAAAAAGAGTTCCCTCGTCAGGAATGTGGATGCCCGGTGACTGTAGGAGCCGGTGATGGGATCAGTTTTTTTTTTTGAGGGGGGGGGGGGGTCAGGGATTAGCTTAAAGAAACATCAAAAGAGAAGAAAGGCAAGAAAAAGAAGTTCATTTGACCGCGCTAATGCCCTCGAGTTGTTCGACCAAAGTCGGTCCAACAGGTTGTTAACGTCCTCTATACATGACTCACCTTTCCTATAAACACTAGTGTGGAAATAATCTGTTTTCACCTTCATGACACAATGCTTTCCTGGCATACAGTAATGATTTCCCAAATAACAGTATCAATATATGGTAGGAAAGCTCAATGAAACAAAGACAACAATTGTAACAAAGGGGAAATAAGTATGTCGGCCCTGAATTATGTTTTCAAAAGTTTGAGAAATGTCCATCAAAGTTGCCTTAAGCTCAAGGTTCAAAACCCAAGGAACAATCAGAGAACACAAAAAACTATATAAATCTCCTGCAATTACAATACTGTTACTCTTCACACAAACTGTACTATAAAAACATAACAAAGATGGAAGTCACCGCCTCCTACAAAAACAACCCATTCATGCCTTTTTGGTGTGTTTGTTATTCCAGGTAAAATCAAGCGGCAACCTCGAGTGTTGAAAAATGGGAACTATTGCTCAAGTGTATAAACCTGCAGTTCCTGTAGTGTCCAACTGAGGCTGGCCTCAAACGCCCTTGAAGTCACACACACACACACACACACACACACACACACCCATTCTAAAAGGCCCAGTTTTAGAGGATAAATAAACATGTTTTCAGCCTGATTCAAAGAAGGAATTTGGTTTGAATAGCTCCTTTTTCTCGTAGGCACACACTGTACAGAGAACTTGATTATATTAAGTTTAAGAGTTATTCATAATAAGGGGCATAGCTGAGGCTTGTTGTCGCTCATTGTCAGGAAGTTGAAGGCCCGCCTCAGCTCCAGCTCTTTGCCTGTTACAGAAAATAAGTTTGAGACAAGATTTGCAACATGGTGACCACTATCGATGGTCTTCACAAGTCTGTTTTAGAAACCAACGGGTGACATCACTAAGACTAAGCCCGAGTTTTAAACAGTCTACGGGTAAGATCGGTTATTAAATAATTGTTTGCATCGTCCCTTCAAGGGGAAATAACTCAAAAAAAAAAAAACACAAATAGACAAATATAGCAACAAAGTCTGTAGGAATGAACCGGGAGTGAGAGTTTAAAGTATTTTTTAGGATGTTTTAATGCTGTTAAACTGTACTATAACTAGGGCAGCAGACTTATAATCATTATCTTAATAGAGTAAACATTTTTTAAGGGATCTACGGTTTAAGGAATATTGTCAGGGTTCTCCTCAAGCTTCAGGTCTTTGTATCTGCAAATGCAAAATGCTCCATCGCATGTAGCCTGTAAAGAAATCTTCATCTTACAGCTGTTTTCCAGCACTGCTACTAGCACTATTTTTGTCATAAAGCACAAACAGCGCTGCAGTTATATATTTCTACAGTTTGAAAGGAGCCATCTAGAATTATTTACGTGACAGAGACCACAAAAATCACAGATGAGGCCAGAAATGTGACAGATTTAAAGGCTGAAAAAAGGGCGTCTATCTTCCAAAACTTAAAACTTTGTCGACACATTAATAAAAATATGTTCAGTTTAAAACACCCATAGCTTGTGACAGAATCTGAGTGCATCCTTTACTGTGATGTTTCATGTAGGTTACTGGGATAGATCCTTTAAGAATTGTCTCTTTTTAATGGGTACAGAGTGCTCACAACACAGACATTGTGTGCAGTCTTTTCAAAACGCCCACAATCATCCAGAGCCTTAAAAGCTCGGAGAAGCCCTCAGGACACTCGTTTCTAAGAGTCTCTGAAAGAGAGTCTCCGTCAAACATGCACATAATCATTTGTAAGGAACACCGCTGCACGTCTGGCCCTGCGTTCTTCAGTGACACAACCTGCAAAATTCTCCTGGGATCTGGTATCAACCGGGTCCTTACCCTAGCCTGCTTTCTACCTGGAGGTGCCGTTACACTTGATCTCAGACTGATACCCTGTGCAAAGTCCACGCTCTGCAGCTCTGCTATGAACGACTGGAGGGGAAAATGAGACGAGGGAGCGGGGGACAGGAGACAGGATAAAGTGTAAAAAACAAAGATAGAAAGGAGAAACTGAGGCAGACGGGGGGAGAGAAAGAAACAGATAGGAATCACAATATAGCGAGAAAAAGCAGCGCTAAATTACATAAACACATGAAGTCTGAGCCCACAGATTGGAGGTTATTGGTAAAACGAGAGTTATAGCTGGTCTGTGTAAAGTGAGTTTGTCCACGGTTCAGTCTAGACAGAATCAGCTGAACATCTGCTGAGTGTATTTATGAAAGTCTCGTCTTCTTCCTCTGCTGTTTCCTCCTTTTAAATTTCAAATAAGAAAGGTCCCTTATTAAATTAAATTATTGCAATGTAGATTTGATACAGCTCCTCCAACAGGGAAGACGGGGCTAAACATTAAAGATTCAGTTGACAACCTCATGTGCTCAGAGTGGCCTGAATGTTCCTAATATGCACTGGCTCAAGCTCTCATGTGTGCAAACTTTCTGCATTTCTCTGGTTCATATCACAGTAAAGGTATTTTCTGGATTAGGACCCTCGCTCAGGAGGAAATAGGCAGTCATATTTTATTAAACATTTCAGTTCTTGGGCTTATCTTGGCATTGATGGGTCAGTGGAAAAAACGGGCATGACCAAGCAATCTAATTTGTTTTAAATTGATCGATTAAGCAAAAATAACAATCAATATAGTAAATAAATCAGAGCTTGGTCCCCTTATCTTGTGCACCAGCTGTGATGCACGGATCATTATCTACTTTAAAATGCAACAAGAGCAAAACTTTTAAGCAAATTATTTCATTAGCTATCTTTGAAATCAAATAAACTACTATTTAGGTTTCTGGTAAATACTCCCGTTAGAAGCACTGCACGCTGCACAAGTGAGCGAGGCCGGGGTCTGATTTGACAGACAGGCTCCTTGGAGAGGCCCTAATGTTTGCATGTTGGCCCCCAGGCACCCGCTGCCCCGGCATGCCCCCCTACAGTGATCAGTCAGGAACAGTGTCCAGACACTTTTACTGCCTCCTGTCTCGGCTCTAATTAGGAGAAACTCAGCCGCCTCTCTCTCTCTCTCTCTCTCTCTCTCTCGCTCCTCTGTTTGGGCTTCAAAGAGCACATGAAATGTGGAGAATGGAGGAGGGGGGGAGAGGGGGGGGCAGCAAAACAAGAGCTGAAAACATGATCTAGGGGGAACACTCCACTCCACATTCGTCACCACCACCACCACCACGTCAGCCTCTTAACTCCGAGTCTTTCTAGTCTCTAGAATAAAAGAGCCTGTTGCCTGAGGAGGGCCGGGGCAGAGCGGTTGCATCTCTTCTGTCCTTTCTGCTCACGCCACTCATCCAGTACTCCAACTGCCTCCGGGGCGAGCGCCCGTCACACGCCATATTGAGCTCAAATGGATGCTGGGATTATTTTTCTCTCTCTATTCTTTCCCTCTCATACAAAAATGCATTATATAATTGTATCCTACAGCCATCTTCTAAAATGAATCCCATCTGTTTCCAATGCATGTTATGGGATTTGAATGGCATTCATCCGCAGGTACTGTTAATATAAGTCTTCATATACAGTATAGATCATAAATCAATAAAGATCATAAATCTGAAACAATTATCTGCAACAGTGGAACATGTAATGGTTTGTTGTTTTTTAGTTTTATCTATATGGGAACTGAAGATGGTTGAGTTTGAGTCATTACCTTCTACTCTGAAATTGTGACTGACATTTCTCATTTTCATTTTGAAGTCTAAAGAATTGATTTAAAAACATGTAAAAGTGGAGATGAATCCCTGTGAAAAGAAAGTCTAGATGGTAGCTTCTTGTCAATCACAGTAAGACAAGCCCTGAGGAACCCCCTTTGATTATCTATTTGATAGTTAATGTTACCACAAGTTAACGACTACCAACATTTTTATTGAGAAAGACTCAACTATTACTAGAGCACATAACTCACAAGGTAACTCTTACTGGGATTAAAAAATAGCAAGAAGAAGACCATTTTTCATCTGTTTGTCAACATCAGGCTTCTTTTTTTCAATCTATGAAGTGGAAGGTGGAAGGCACTTTTTAATTGGATAATATTTTTTGAAACCAAGAGGTTACTTCCACTTTTTTTTAAGGTCTGTGAACACAAGTCACAACCAGAAAAACACAGCTCGCTAAAGAGTTGACTTTTTAACTTCACACTACAGGATTACGATATCCTCAAAGACAAACCAAACACGGACTCACCTGGCAGCCTCTCTTCTCGATCTCATTGATGCACTTGCTTATAAGCAGCGGCACCATCTGTCCCGTGTTCTCCCTCTCCACCGTCCGCCACGCCTCCACACCGAACACCTGCGGCTCCCTGTCCCCGTTCAGCCCGCCGTCCAGCGAGTTCTGCCACTGCTCCATCAGGCTCAGCTTGACGTAGATCAGCCCGCGCGGCTCCAGCTTCACCGCTAGCTGGTGGCAACGCGTCACCCTGAAGAGCGCGGGCAGAACCACCGTGCCGTGGCAGCAGACGCGGTTTCGCCTCGGCGTCGGCTCCCAGCTGAACACCACGAGCTTCAGGTGCTGGGCGTTCTCCAGCTCGATGTTAAAGGTGTGGTCCATGTCTAAGAAGGTAGTCCGACATGTTAGGAGTGCCGTCCGCGCTTTGTTAACCGAGTCCACTTGGATGGCGCAGTAGACGTCGCGAGAGTCGATCCGTGGAGGTTTGAGGTCCTCCGCGCCGTAAAAGTGCAGACTCATCAGTCCGGAGATGAACTGGCTGCACTTTGGCTGCTCTGTGAAACTGTAATGGCGGAAAGCGTCGATGTCCAGCTCCGTGCCGTTGAGTTTGGAGCCTGCGCCGCCTCCTTCCATCTCCTTTCCCTTTCCCCCCTTCCCCTCTGAAGAGCCGTGCTTCCCCGATTTGGCCACCAGCTCCGGCGAGTCCCCGTCGCTGAGGTAGCCGCCTTTACTGGCCGACTTTGAGCTGCCGTTGTTTTTCTTCTTGCTGAAGCTGTGCTGTGTGGATACACTGCTGTCCAAATGGTAGCGCGAGATCACATTACGGCTGGCCTGCCCACCCCCGGGGGCGGCTAATCCCGGAGGGCCCGAAGGATGGGGGGCAGTCTCCAACCCGCTCCCGTTGTTTTTTGGGGAATGGGCTCTGGGTTCCAAATGGCTGCTTCCTCCACTGTTGCTGTTGCTGCTGATACTCGGAGTCCCCTTAACGCTGAGTTTCCGGCTGAGCTCCGGAAGCTTCTTCATCTTCATTGAGATCTTCCTCACAGTGCGCGGGGACTTGATCTTGTCTGGGAAGGACCAGTTGATAGAGCTGCTTTTCTTCGTCGGGTTTGGACTCGAAGGAGGAGAGCTGACGGCATTGGGCAAGTCAGGAACATCTGCAGAGGAAATAAGAAAAAAATATGATCAAATGGAAGCCTGGGGCAATTTGAATTCTGAATTTTTAATATGACACTTTGCAGTTTGGACGTTTTTTCTGCCAAACTTCACAAAAAATGTTAGGAAAGAACATTTTTAAGAACAAACAAATGGAAAACAACAGTCACAAGTTCTTAAATGTTGGTTCCACAGAAAAAAAAAAAACATCTTAGTCCCAATATAACAAGTATCTTTTTAGAATTCCAGAGAAAGCAAACAGGAAAGAGAAGACTAAAACCAAAGGCAAAGTGAGCGTGAGCCATAATTTACAGTCCCTAGGAAACACTTTCATGGCACATCATCAAGGCATTAGGTTTACAAGCAACCCAGTAATCCAACGCCAGAGATTCATTCAGGAGCCACTGCTTCATAAACACTTGGGTACTATAAAATACACTTACACTGTATATAAGTAAACCTAGACAGTGATTACGATAATTAACCGTTAAAAAAAAAAAGTTGCTGCTGTGGCGCGGATATCTCAAGTTTTAATGTTTCCAAAGAGTATCCGTGAGGCCTGTGTGCGTTTCATTCGATCAAACAGCAGGAATGTTGAAGTTGGAATGTCTTTTGCTGCAGCTCCAGGAAAAACATTTGTCTATAAGAAGGGGAAGTATCTTTCCAAAAAACACGACCGCTTCAGGGCAGAGGTAGAGTTACACCATCATTATTTAAGTTTAAAGATATCCATTTGGATTGGTGCATGTAGGAAGTTCTTGCCTAACTAGACGTCTGCAAGGTGAAATGTTAGGGTCTAGAGGTCTACAGGAGAGGCCACCACCCACCCCTGTTTAGACTGCAGGATGTAGGTGTGGCTTTAAGGTTTTCTTCACATCTTCTTTTTCAACAGGTTGCCTACTCTACATAAACTTTTCGGTGGCACTAATTTATGTGAATCTGTTATTTGAGGATACTATAATCAATATCTTTATCAGAAATTTTCAGCATCTCTCCCCTGCTCAAAAATCCTTCTGTAATGTCTTTCAGCTCATTGTTTTTTTTTTCTTTCTTTTGGCCCAGTTTCCTCATTGTCAGAATTTTTGTTTTTAACACCGAAGGCAGCAATTCTTTTTAGAGAAGAAGCTCTTTACACTCAGTTCTCTCCCTGCTCTGCACTAAAAGCACACAGAGTACAGATCAGTGTAAAAAGTGGCACATTAGGGCCTGTGGCAATTGATGGTCTTTTGCACTGACAGTGCTTATTTTCCAAACGATACGAATGCATTTTCAGCTCTAGCAAGGGGTAAAAAAAAAACACCCTCAGAGAACGTCAGCTACTTTCTGTATCAGTTGATAACAGTTCAACTTTTGGAACACTTTGGACGCTCTTCAATGTCACTTCTCCCTCACCAAACAATCAAAATGAAGAAGGGGGCGGGGCTTCTCATATCAGCTTTGTCAACAACAATGGTGGAAGATAAACTAATCTGTCTTGTCTTTTTGAGGGGACAATTTCTAGAGTCAGAGCTGCTGGTGAAGCCAGGAGTCCTTCACCTTCTTTTTATGTTTGTTTGGTGACATTTCCTTAAATAAATACAAATATAAAGCATACAAAGCTTTTCAAACAGTCCTTAAAGGTCACTACAGAGAGAAGTGGAAGTTAACCATCACAACCTGGCAAAAAATAAGCGCCAGTGAGAAGGGCTCTGAAACTGAGGTTGTGGGCACTGCCAGTGCAAAGAGCGTCGATGGACACAGGCCCTTAAGCAGCTGCAGACATAGACATTACACTTAGGAGTTGATGGAGCCTGTCTAACACAAAATGGTTCTTTTAATAAGATTTCCTTCATGGCTAAACCGTTTTTACGACTCTTTAGAGAGACTATTGCTCTTCATGGATCCCTGAAAAATGAAGACTGTGTGAACCTCCTTTCTGTTAGCCCTCTCAGGCCACATTTAGACCTCAGTCCAGACAGTAAACAACACACTAAGTCTAGGAGCTGATAGGGTATTTAAACTCGTAATACATTCATGGTTTGACATATTTAGAGAGGTGCTTCTCATTCATGAGCTAATTACTTTCTCTGAATAAACCTCTTAAACAAAAGACCGATTCTGTAAGAGAGAGAGAGAGAAAGAGATACAGAGAGAGAGACCCTGACCCTGCCAACATCACCAGCTCTATTTTCAGAGGGGACCTGCTGTGCTATTCTGGGGCGAGAGCCCGCCAGTGAAAAAGAGGGAGGCAGAGGAGGCGCAACAGGATGGAGAGAAGGGTAAGATGGGGGGCAGGAGCAGGGCAGGGTGTAGCCGGCGAGATTGGGGACAAAGGCGCCCCTTGTCCAGGCACTCAGAGGTCTGGATGGTCGACTGGAAAGGCTGGCAAGCCGGCTGGCTGAATGTACAAATGAACACGGCTGTTCTCTCACATTCCTGACCAAACCGTGTTTAGCCCCCTTTTTCCCCGCTGGCTGAGTAGCTTTCCCTGTCACAGCTTCCTACCAGTAATAGACTCAGAGGCGCTCCAAGAGGCGCTCTGAGAGGCGCTCTGAGAGGGGTGGAGGGCATCAGAGGTGCAAACTCCCCAAACAACATCTGGGGGAGGGGTCGGGTACACAGAGCGCCCAGGTTAGGTCTGAAACGAGGCTTTCACCAGAGAAATTCTTTGAACATGAAACACATTTGAACTCCCTTTGAGCGTCTAATCTTAGTTATTTTCAATTATTACATTTTGCAATAAAACGTCAAATGCAGGGGGAACTACAATGATATTTAGCTCAATCAATTCACACACTGATGGCAGACACAAGGACACATCGGACATGTGGCTGCAAGAGCTGGGGATCCAACTGAGCCACTGCCCCATGTAGCAGTAATACAGAGATCCAACAGAAATCCATCATAAGCAAACACTTGGCAACATTCAGCCACAGTGGCAGGCAAAAACTTCATTTTAACAGACAGAAACCACAAGCAGACCATCATGTTGAACATCCATTTGTCACGGCTGTGTGGACTTGGCTACATTTTAAGAAGCTGTATAAAAAGTTGTATAAAAATGTTACATTGAGTGCTATTTTAATTTGATTTCCAGAGTTGCTCACAAACTGTTCCTCCACTTTTCCGTGAATATTGTGCTGCATGTGTTCATGAAAGATTAAGTAAGTATCGCAGAGAATGCCATGGTTCATGATGATGCCATGAAATTGGGATCTGGTTAACAGAAATTAAGAGTTTCAGGATTCTTGACAAACAGAGCAACATTGTTCTGTGCTTTGGTTTTGTAAGGTTTTCTTTATCTTACTAAATATACCAAACCATCATGCATGAGTTAAATATATAAACTTAAACTAAATGTTGTCTAAAGTATCAAAAGATCCGGTGAAAAGTAAGTTCAGATGCCTCTCTTACTTCGACTCGTACTCTCAAACATTCTCCTCTCACGTGTGGGGCCTTTAAGAGCGAGAGCTATTGATCCATTTATTTGTTAATCAACATGAACTGGGGCAACGTCCAGCAGCCCTGCAAGGCAGAACTGCCAAAGTTAATGACTGTTGCTTCACACGCCCACACACACACACATGCAGCTGTGTCCTCTGTGGTCTTTGGCCTTGTGGCAGCAGCCAACAGAGAAACGTGACACCTCGCTCGCCGAGGTTCAGGGGCGATGGTTTGACACTCAACCCTCCAGGGCCATGTTCCAGGGTCAAAGAGCAAAAAAGGTCTGCATTTCTCCGGGTGACACCTGAGCTGAGAAACTATGTCCAACCCCCCCCGACACTTTTAACATGCACATGCACTCACCATATTACCGCGACACAAAGAGAGAGTGCATGTAAAAAATGCATGCATAAAGACAAACACAACACACACACACACACCTTTTGTGACCCCGCAGCCCTCCTCAGGCACCCGGTCGCTGACACCTCTTAACAAAGCCCAGGAATTTATGACGAGGGCTTTTTCACAATGCCGGCACCAGACAGGTGCAAGAGGAGGAGGAGGAGGGGAGGAGGAGGAGGAGGGGGAGGAGGGGGAAGGACGACCTGATCATTATCAAACATGCCTGATACTGCTTTCTAAGATCCTCTGCCTACCCTGAGCCAAAATGTCATTCTAGCAAATAGTGGGATAATGTGAAACGTCCTCAGTGGCACGACAATACGCGCCGGGGCTGCAACAATGTGTGTGTGTGTGTGTGTGTGTGTGTGTGTGTGTGTGTGTGTGTGTGTGTGTGTGTGTGTGTGTGTGTGTGTGTGTGTGTGTGTGTGTGTGTGTCAGACAGAGAGAGAGAGAGAGAGACACTGAGTATACTCTGATAGGCCTTTGAGTGAGACAACAATCTGCTGTCCTGATTACCCCTGTAAAACCACTTGCATTCATTTACTGTGTGTGTGTGTGTGTGTGTGTGTGTGTGTGTGTGTGTGTACAAGCATAACTGCCACATGTGTGTGTTGAATGTAAAAAAACAGAAAGAACGGGGGGGGGGGGTGTGCAGAAACACACCAGCAGTGTAAATAAAAACCAGTGAATGGAATACTTGTCCTGTAGTTTCTTTAACTCAGTGACCGGGGGCCAAACCCTGCACTGCTTCCTCTCTCTTCCTTTTTGGCTCCAAATCATTCGGAGCTGGAAGGCCCTTTCAGGGGGCCGCGGGAGCCCCCGGCCGTTTCATTACAATGGTTACAAAACCCCTGCTAATATATCCAAGCATGCAGGGCCTTCTCACTAGCACAACATGGCCCCCCGCAAAAGCAGCCCTCATGCGGGGCCGAGCTCTCCGACCACTGCAGGCATTCCTGCTCCGCTGTAACTCAAACGGCAGAGTGGGCGCTAATTCTAGACAGCCTGCACCGCTCCAAATAACAAGGAACAAACAGCTACTGTATGTGAGGAGCGCTGGTGAAGTAATCGTTTTCATTACAAAACCAACCATGGCATTTTTGTTGGCTAAAAATATCGTGACGAAAAAGCCTTTAAGGACGGATTGTACAACAGAATAACCCTTTTTAAATTATTA